GAGCGAGTAGTTTACTCCCCTTTGGTCCTGTTACTTAGTACGTCCAACAATCAGTACTGGGATGTGTGTCTCAACTTGTTTGGGATCGCGGTAAGTGCATACTTTGATGCTAGTAATTTGCTTAAGCTCATTCATCGACGCGAGTAGCTCTTGGCTTGCCTATCGAGCGACCCAAGTGTGAGTAGCTTTTCTCTTTTTTTTTCTTTGCAAGATGCTGATTCGTCTTTCGTAGCTGTCTCGATGAAGGATCTTCAGAAGCTTATCAAGTAAGGATAGTTGGAGGTGTAAGTTGACGATTCACACGAAAATCATGGTGTATACTAGCCAGCGAACAACAAATGTACAAATCTTATGTTCATTAGCATCGGAGTGATCTAGCCCGACCCAGTTGTAACATTGTAATTAGTTTTATTCGCGGTCCGGCGGCAGCGGCGGCCTCGGCCTCTGAATCGCCACCGGAGAAACTCCACGTGGAGTGATACACTAGGTGCTTCTAATTGACGTGACGTCGGAACCGCGTCATGGCCAATTTGCGAGAATGCAGGGTGGAGCCACACTAGAACCCCGCCCCACGCACTCCGCCCCACTTTGCACGCGGGTGCGAACGCGCCTGACCCCAACGTCATACGGTACCGAGCGCATATAAGCAGACGCATCTCGCCATGGGAGAGCACTCACATCTAACAAACGCCCCTCTACCAAACCAGAAACTCATTAAACTCTATTACCATGTTCGGTTCTCGTCGCACTCGTGCTACTCGCACCACCCGTACCTCTACAGGCCGTAGCGCTGGCCTCGGCAGTGTCTTCCGCCGCAAGAACCCGAACCGCCGTGCAGGTGGCTTCAAGGTTTGTAGGATCTCTGTCAATGTATTGCGAGATGGCGATGTTCATGAAATTATCGTTGTTCCAGGCTGCGCTGCACAACCCCAATACCACGTCCTCTGGACGCCGTCACGCTAAGCATGAGCTGAAAGTCATGGTAAGCTTTACCGCCGTCTCTCGTCGCTACGTCAACGTTGCTGACACTGTTTCGTCTCTAGGGACGCGGCCGCGAAGCGCATGTACCTCTGTCCGTACGCATCAAGCACTTCTTGCATATTGGTGGTCGTCGTACCACGCGCCGTCACTAAAAGGCGCCCCTAAAAACTTCCTTATGACCGTGATGTCCTATGAATGTCTGCCCCAGGTCTACCCTACTGTATCAATTAGTTCTTAGTACTTTTATTTCTTACCGATACCGTATTGATAATACCATCTAATGCACATTATTATCTTGTGATCACCAATAACCACAGATTCGACGCGTATCAGTGAATGTACGTGAGACATACAAGTGCCTTGAGTATTTAGCGTTTAGTCATAGTTGCGGCATGATCAATAGTCACTGCTACTAAAACATGGCTTTGACCTGCAGGCGAGGTACACATTTTCACAAGAGAACATCTCATTTCCTTACGAGTGGGGGAGTTTACAACCTGATCTAACTAGTTAGTTCAAAATTTTGGTCTTTGTTGTATGCATTTGAACTCTGGCACTTTGGCCGACTTGCGCAAATGGAACGCGAGGTTCGGGTAAGGTGATTGCATTAATAACGCTGCAGCCTGTCACAGCGGACGTTTGGGCTCGGACGGAGTAGGAAGAAAGAGGGTGGGGAAGGTGCCGGACGCGAAATTAGGGGCGTGGAGGTGAACGAGAGACTGATGGATTTTTAGGTATTTAAGTATGTAACAGCCGCAATGCAAGGATTTTGAAGTGGGTAGTCGATGAATAAATTTGCTTGAACGTAAAGGTTGCAGGAAACGCTATTGCCGCTATAGTTGCTATTAGATCTTGTTTTGAGCAAGTGTCGCTTGGCTCAATTGTACACCGTTCGAACCTTTTCTGACTTAGTATCCACGACTCGATTCCACTTACAATCTACTCCTTAAGCGGTGCGCAGCTCCACTACTTTAGGAGCGCCAAGCATGACGTGAACAGGCTATATGCGCGTAAGCTCGACCATTTTCGCTAGACACTTCGCGCCCGCATAGCCTAAATATGCGCAAACACATATAGACATATCCCGACGCTCGTTTCAACCAGCTAGATGTTACATTCGTCGACAACGACAACTCTCGCCAGCACGCCAAGACATACCCCACCTCCCCTATCTTATTTTTGGCTTGGTATGACGATGTTTCGGTCGAGTTCAGGGAATAGGGGCGGGAACTGTGTTGGTCGGCGGCTCCCAAGAGCTTAGGGCAGGTCGCCGGAAATAGATGCCAAGCCGAGCGGACAGGGGGTACAGCGCACGGGCCGCTGCTCAGGGATATAAGAAAAACGCGAGGGGCGAAAAATCGACTTCACTCCGCCCTCCATCCTCCCTCCACCTATACTTCAATTTCACTCCACTCCACTCTACCTCTACTCTTTACTCTATCTTACACTACTACCATGTGCCTACTCCTCTCCGCACCTGTCCTCAAACATCGATGATGTTCGACTGCGCTTAGGTAGGTCACTGCGTCGAGTCAAGCGATTTGGACATTCTTGAACTTATCCTCCTCTATCCAGACCCATCTTATGTTTCGGCGTACTGCCCTCGAGGCTGCACTCGTGCCACCTATTGGCCTGCGACGCCCTTATACCAAACGAACTGTAAGTACTTTTCGCTCGGCCTTTCCAGTAGCTACGACCGACCCCTATCCGAGCCTGTAGACTTGACCTCTCCTGACCCAGGCTTTACTCTCTCATGTTCGAATTCGTACTCATGTTACCGGTCAGTGGTGTAGTATTCTCATCTCGGTATGCATGTAACTAACCTTCAGACGTTTAGACTACTTACCGACACCAGTATTCACCTCATCAAAACTTGTGCATGCATGCCAATCACTGTAAGCCTCCGAGACCGCCTCCACGCACTTTGGTTAATTATAGTCAAGCTACCCATAGCATCACTCGACTGGCCCCACCATCTCATCTATAAACCTACTATTAGTTTGCTTTTCTCTCGATTTCTCAACTCTAGCTTGCGCTTCTCGTTCTCATTTTTCTTGACACTTATTTAGTTCCTTATATTTTGTACCTGTATTTATTCATTCGTTCACTCCTACTCTAACCGGTACGCCTATTCACTACCAATTTGCTACTCGTGCTTACTGGTCTGTTCAGCATTCGTCTTCACATGTGCACCGCTCGCCTATAACCCGACCGTCGGTCCCTGGTTTGCCCGCATCCTGCGCTGGGTACCAGTACCTGGCTGCCATCGCGATCAGCGCAACCCGGACCGGCGACTCGGCTTGGACAAAACGTCGCACCAGTTCCCGACCATCCAGCACGTACCGGGGTCGACCTCGACCGACGCCGGGAGGCCCTTTGTGCGCCCGGTAGGTCTTGTGTTCGGGTTCGGGGGTGCGGTCGGGCATCTCGTCGGCGCCGAGCGGCAGTCCGAGCGGAACGACCAGTGACGGTCGCGTACAGGTCGTGCGTCCACAATAGGTGTGGGCTGCGCTGAAACGACCGCGGCGGACTGGTAACGTCGACCGGACAAGCCTGTGGATCGACAGAGGTCTCGCCGAGCATGAGCGCATCGGTGGGATCGTCACGCGTCTGTCTACACAAGTGGATGGGCTGCCTGAAGTGACGAGCGGAACTGAGAGGAAGAGCGAGCAAAGGCGTCGAAGGCTGGTCCGCCCTGCGAAAAGTAAGTGGTTGGTAGATGTGAGCTTCGATGCTAACCACTGTTCGACAGAATGTAGCCCTGATAACAGCACGAAATGTCTCTCAAAACTTAAACTCAGACTCAAACTCAAGTCAAATGATGTGCAGGGTGGGCCGGCTGAGGCGTACGGAATGACATGTAATTGCTTGATTTGTCCATAATAAAGACGCTACCCAACCTGCCTTGTGTGTTATGGTTCAGAATAAAGTCGAAAGATTGTAGCTTCTGCCTCTAAGTTAGGAGTAGCTTGGAATAATTGTTTATGAGCTACAGCCCGATGCTACAACTACTAGCCTCCTGTCTATAGGTTTCACAACTGGACCTACAGCTACTACAAATTAAGCATGGTTGGCTTCAGCCTCAACTCCTGTGTCTCCTAGTATAGCCTCAGTTAAACTCATGTTTTCAGACCCCTATATGCGCACCCAAAACGCATATATGATACTCAAATCGACCTCTTTTCAGCTAATAACTGGTCCCCTAGTCTCACAAGACTCTCTCCTGCCTAAAATGTCCATTCATACCTGCGAAAACATAGATCTACATAGGTAGCAGCAGGTGGGGTAAAGAACCCCTTGTCGGCTCCCCCCATGAGGTATATCCACTTAGTTCAGAAAATTGAGAGCCCCATACTTGTATGAGAGGCTGAGCCAGTTATAACACATAATAATGTAGTATATGCTTGGCTTTGGCTCACTTAGACAGAGAGTACTGTGCCGTACATGTTTTTACACCGTTTCTGGTTACTAATCTGGATAAATGGATCTCTGACTTTGGTTTATGCACAGCTCCCCCGTTTCTCATCCAAATCTCTCCAAGATTTTTGTACTACGTAGCTTACATGCTTTTCTACTGATCGCATCTACTCGCAAGACCCTGCGACCTGTGGCTCCGGAGTTATGGCTCACACAATATCTAGGTTGCTAGTGTTTGTACTTGGTTGATTTGTCTAAAGTGAAACTTCATACTTCTCTTTTGCGCACTACACGAACGAGTAATTTACCGAGTCATGTCTGTAAGGGTCTGGCCACTTAGCTTATAGAGCTTGAAGGTATTATGTTTGGAGCTTATGGGACGTAATTGGCTGGGAGCAGATAGTACCTCCGTGGCATACGTAATCTTATGCAAATTAGAGTATAGCCGATGCGCCAAGTTGTAACAAGGTATCATCACTTCAGCCACCAGAACCATTGCAGGAATGGGTGTGAGCTCGGCGCACGCAAAGACGAATGAGAGCAATCGGCCCATTTCCAGTCTTTCAGTCAGATGCAACGCTTTGTGTCAAGAACGAATCAACACGTTGGTGGTGAAACGGTTATCATCCTTGCCTTCCATTCGAAAGAATTACGTAAGCAAGGGGCGGGGGTTCGACTCCCTCCCAACGTAGTGCTTTTTACGCATTATTTTTGCTCGTAACTTGTGGTTTTTGCGAACTTGAGTCCTTAGGGATCGATTAGAGTGTGACTGAGCTCTAAGACCAGTGTTAGCACTACCACGTCACACGTAGCGTACATATAATTTCACAAAATATACCATTAAAAAGCGCAGTGTCTCGGCTATAGAACGCATATTAATACATGTCTATAGCCCCAGAAATGACGGAGATACGGCCTACACAAACCCGGGGGTGCACAAACGATTTTGTTGCCAAAATGCAAATTGCCCACACCAACTATTGTCTGTCCCAGTATTCTATCTACATAAAACTTGGGCTTCCAGTAGTAATATGAGCAAATAGATAAAGGCTATAACATATGAGATAGGTAGATTGTTATTGGATCTCTTGGTGGGGATATATGTATTCAGAGCAGTTGGGGGGGGGGGTATTTGAATCTCAGTGGTATGGAGCATGACCCATGGAGCTTGCAGGCTATGTAGGGGGTTTGATAGGAAGCTCTGGTCCGTAGGGCCTACTATAATCTATTTGAAAACTGAGCTGGACTTGTTTACCCTGGTTCTGGGTGCGCTAGATGTGAATACATGCAGGTTTGGAGTCATAAAAGTGACTATTGCAAACGATACAATGAAGCCTGCAAGACAAAACAAAGCTAGCAGCATGTAAGGAGTCCTGAAGTGTGTACTTGTATAGTTTACAGAGAGCATACATCCACTTTATGCCCCATAGTTCATTGGTTTTATCATGACGGGTTTTTAGTCCAAAATTGTACAGGCTAGCATGCTGGCATCTACAGTATATAGCATTCAGAGCGATTCCGATATATCTGTAAGCAACAGGCTTACTAACCCCATCCAAGGCGCCTTTCCGTAAAGTGTCCGTGTTCTAATACATTCTCGCTCGTTGAAGATAGAGGAACGGGTGACCACAAGCGCCAACGCGCTCTCGATTTTGGTGCATTTAAGTGCAGCTTTTTGCGCATATATGCGCATATAACTCTCTGGCCTGCAGTTTTATTCTACACTACTTCATTGATTTATAACACGGGGGGAAATCGCACAGTCAAAGAGATAACAGTGAACATCAACCAAAGCGAGACCTGAAATATTGGCATGGCATTTAGTCTTCATCGGACACACGTTTGTATTGAGCACTAGAATAACCACTACGTGACTCTTTTAAAGCGAAGCTTTCGTATGTTTCCTGGATCATTTGCCCTTCGCACCGTGGACATGTGCAGTGGTTACCTGGATATCAGAAGGCTTTTTGAAAAGGGAGATTATGCGGTACTAGGAATCAAACTGACCATGTTTGGACGATTTGACTGCAAAGTATTGTAATGATGTCCCTAGTCCAGCCCAGAAAACTGTGAAAAAAGACATTGTCGCAACCAGTACATCTACGACCAAGCTAGTCGGAGTCTTCCACCACATGTTTCGACAGTTGTATCTAGCGTTGAACGATGTAGAGTGAATGTCCGCAAAGGGTAATTGGAAGTCGGTTGGGTTGCTCAAAACAAAGTCGGCTGCAGTACCGTTAATCCAGCTGTACGAGATCCCAGGCGGAACTAATAAATTCTGGTGAATAAGTTGGCGGAGCAAGGTGCCATTTGTGAGCGGATTTAATCCCGATGTTACTCCAAGATCTGCAAGCACCGCAGACCGAAAGACTAATGCGAAATTCTCGAAGACTGAAATACTCTTATTGCTGGCCGGTAGCATTAGCATCTTAAGCAATCGATGAATAAAAGCTGAAAGCTGAGCTTACCTAAAACCATTTTGGAGAGAACCGCCACCATTGGAGAGTACACCATAACCCGACCAGGTCGCACCATAGTACCCGAATTTTGCTTCTGAGCTGATCACAAATCCTGAGTAGACGGTGTTCAGTGGCCTGGGTCCAAGAACTGAGGCGGGAATCTCTGGTAAGAATTGGTTCATAAAGTCGAGCCCAAATGCAGCTAATAGCTTAGCTATCGCAGGAGCCAAATACGTTGACTGGGTTTGCGGGTGGTTTAGGTCTTGTTCATAGCGCCGCATGATGCTAGACTCGGTATCGGTCCGAAGGGTTACTAACGATGGGGCAGTTATCATCATTTCAACGTTGCCGTCCAAAGTACAGTTAATCCTAGCCTAGGTGATAAAAAAAATGAGAAACGTTAGGAGATTTGTTTAACGAAGCAACTCGCACCTGAAAAAGGGCATCAACCGTAACAAAGTTTACAAGAACATCCATCATTTGTATGTAGCAACTGCTTAAAGATGAGCCGTTGTAACTCATGCTGGAGAACACATTTCGGGTGTTCCTATCGACGAAGTTCTGGACCGTGTAGGTAAACGCCCCGTTCTAGTGAGTTTCGATTATGAGCATGAAGATCGCAACAGTTTCGATCCGTTACACCGCACATACCGGAGTTCGGTATGTTGCTCCAGCAACCAGTACAGTTGGATCACACCCAAGAGTAGAATTCACTGCGGAGTTCGTGTGAGATACATATCCTCCAACCACGCTGCCGTATCCAAAACTTACACGTTTTCTTGATATTCATTCGCTGCGTCCAAGACGGTGTTTTTTCTCCCTCAAACGTCGTGGACAGTGTGGTGGCGGTGGTCATTCCTACAATGGCCACTGATATAAAGTTAGTGACATCTACACGAGCACAGAACTTCACTACCAACAGTTCACGTAAACTATAAACCCAAATACGAGCGTAGATAAAATAGCGATGCAAAGCGTCGCAAAGCGCCATGGATATGGTCTAGCATTTATTGATTATTGTCCATAAACCACGCTCAATGTTGACCGAAAATAGATCACTCACCGAGTGATTGGATAGTCAAAGCCCATGTCGAATGCTGAAGTAGTGCAATCCCTCCTGGGATCATGTCGGTTATATACGATCTGTAGTGGTATGGTGGGTCTGGTATCGAAGCTTCTTGATGCTAGATTGCTTACACACACAAGCATCTGCCATGACAACAGAACTAAGGACTATCGCGAGTGCTTTGAGCATGCATGGTCTCCGTAAGGCCGCCAAGAACCTTTGTCAAAGGATAGAGATCGACTTAGAGTGTATGCACCTGATGTCTAGAAAAGCTATTAGTATACAGTCTCAAGCTAGCATTCCCCCTTGAAGCCAGGGTGATATATAAGCGCTGAACAAATAAGATGCCATGCTTCCCACCTTGTGTTGCCGTGTTTGCTCCCGCCACTAGGCACACACCAGGAGACGGCAAGCTCCGGCCCGGAAATATGGGGCAGCGGCCAAAAGACGAATCGCGCCAGCGCCTAAAGCTAACCTCAGCCATATCAACCGCATGTTGACGAACAACCTGTTAAGTCATCACCTGAGCAAGTGAATATAACACCACTAGATGAAGGCTATTGTTGCGTTGGATCAGCGGTTGCAACCCCGAACTTGACTAATAAGCTAGATAATGGGCACGATAGTTTTTGTGTATGAAACCTGCACAGCCGGAACTCTAATGATCGGCCCGCATACAACGGTGTGTCTTGTTAGACTTTTACATTTTTACTTGATTCATATACCTCCGGTGCGAAGAACAAAGGTAGAAGTGTATGGCATGCCTGCTGACTCTCTGCACTTGGGCCATCACGGGGCGTTGGAACTCATTTAACCACGCGTAGTTGAATCTAGCTGTCAGGCTCTACCAACTCTCTTTGTCGTTTTTGCCCTGGTGGCATTCTTAGTCAACTTCGAGATTTCTTACTACACTCGTTATCATGACCGCTCTCATTCACAAAGATCTACCATCCGCAACACTCCGAGGTCGACGCGGCTGTCGCTCTCCTCTGTACTCTTATCTCCGTAGTCCAATATTTATTACCAACCCCAATGTGCTGGTTTCTCTGCTAGAAGGTGCAGCTTTTGATATCCTGCCCAAGGTGTACCAAGGTATGTAACTGGCTTTGATCGCGAGTTGATCACAGTTTTGATTTCTGCAACAGCGCGAACACTCGAACAAGCATATACTGCACGTCGATCGTGAGTGTGAACCTGAATAACCTGTCTTTAGAGCTATATTAAGAGTTCCAATTAGACCGTTTGCAGAAAACAACCGGAATGGAGGCTCAAGAAAACGGCGCCATGTTTCAGGACAGCCGCTCGATACTGAAGACATTGGATCCCGAGTTATCAGACGTCTTCCCAAGCGCATTAAATTTACCCAACCTTCACCTGGTACATTTGCGCGCGCTGTTCGACAGCACAAGGAGCAGCAATCGACAACCTCGCTTTCTACGCCAAGCTCCATAGCCTCCCCGCCACCCTCATCTCCGTGCGACTACTCTAAGCGTAGTAGCGTTGGGGGTAGATATCCCTTCCTGTGTATTCCTTCGAAGCCCCACAGACCGTCAGTCAACGGCGCGCAGATGGTCTTGGGCGTCGGGTTGTTCAGGACAAATGCTCGCCGAATCAAGGTGTTCCAGCGCGGAAACTCATTTGTTTGGGTCATACGGTCTGTGTAACTGCGATAAACCGAAACCGTTGCATATGGGGGGACGATGCGATTAAAGACGCTCTGAATTCTTGGATATTCTGGTTGCAGCGCTGGTCGTAATGTGCTGCTTGCTCTCTAAGACAGCTTTATGGGGTCGCCGGTCGTAGCTGTATCCTCTGATTTCTACTTGTTTATTACACAGCCGGTCATATTTATTTACTGCTAAATGTTGATGAGTGTATGCGTTCTGGCTCAGCGAGCAAGCGCTTGTTCGCGATGACGTAAGATTGAACGCTTCTAAGAGCTCATCTCCGCGTCCACAAGCATAACATATATCGCAAACATACTATCACGATCAGGTGAGCAGACATGCTTTCTGATCAACTGGACATTTATAAAATGTGCTATTCGCTAGTTCATGCCGCCTCGTGGAGCCAAACGAGCTGTCTCTGCTGGAGCAGGTCCCTCCACTAGTAAACGTACCCGCTTCACAGACCCTACCGATCCCGTTACGAATGGCGACGAACAGA